ACTCCTATATATTTTTTTAACTTAACTCCAAACCAGTTTCCCTTGGCAGCCCCAATTTCTTTAGAATCCTTCTTTACTGAGGCTGCAATCTCTCACCCCACCAAATTGTGCAGGCAGGAGGACTAGAATTCCCTTTTTTCTTACTACAGCTGCCTACTATCCTCATAGCAACATCTTCTAATTGGGAAACTATTTACAGAACATCATTTTTAAATAGCGTCCACTCACTTACCCATCATCTCTCCATCTTGTAGAAATTATCTATGCATATCTAGGACATGCTTTCATTTCTTTGACTACTTGAGCATTTTCCTACCTTAGTCCTTCAATTACGAGTACATTTCTTTCTCTTTTTTTGTTTTAACTTTTGGTGAATACATTTCTGAAGAGTTTGCATGGAGCCTTTAGTCCATATAAAAATTACTCCATTTGAACCTTTAAGAACATTATTTTGAGGATGTAATTATTAAGGTAGGATATTTTCTAAGTAGTAGGGGCCTAAAATCAATCTCTGTGCTCCTTTCAATTCATTAAAAAATTTCCTTTCCTTTTGTATTTCCACTTTGCACCAAGACACTAGAACATTATATGCTTCCACACAAAGGCAGGAGTGACAAGATATTTGTATTTAGTAATTTTGATTTTACCTCTTATTCAGACAGCAGTAGATAATGGGGTTGTACATAGTTGAACTCATTGCCAGCCAAAAACTAGCCAGGTAGACCTGCTGGATGTATTTCCACCTATTTAGTTGTTGATAGATTGCAGTGAGGATGAAGTAAATATGATAGGGCAGCCAGCAGATAGCAAATGTCACCACGACAACAATCATCATTTTAACAACCTAGAAAGAAATAAAGAGGTAATTCTTAGTAAATTTAAAAGTCATTAAATATAAAAAGTCCAATAGCTTCCCATAAATCATATTTTTCTATCAGTAGAGTTAAATACATAGCATAGTTAAATATATAGAATAGTCAATGTATTAAAAATCAGTGAGCTGATATAAAGACAAAGCCTCTGGTAAGTCTTGAGAAAGCTTGCTTTTATCATCGTTTCATTTCTAACCAACCTTGGTGAGTGGGTGGCACTAACCTGGTCATAAGCAAATATATTTTACCTCGTCTGAAGAAAATCAGTGTTTACAAATAC